GGGGGGGTAATGTTTGTTGTTCATCTAACAGATGACAATTGAATGTAAATCTGTCATCCTTCTGCCTTATTTTTTCTTGGCAGTTTAATAATCCTTTCATTGAATGAACAAAAATTAGGCCTACTTACTATTTTGGAAAAAGTGCAAAAGATTCCAGAGCCTAGATCTTCTAGCCTACTTATGTCTCAAGTGTTTTAACACTGTTCTTTTTTAGCAGACAGATATCCAGATTTCAACTCAGTCAGCACCACAGTCTTTATTCACAACTTCCATTACTGATAAAACAAATGGTTTAACATTTCAAATCTACACGGGGCTTGACAGAGATTTAAAGGTTCCTTTTGGTCTTAATGGATAAAGGATAGGCTCTTTGTCAGAGAAAAATAATGCTGTGGTTTGACCATTCTAATTAGCGTGTAGCTCTAAGTTCTTTTTCCAGACAGGGTGATTAATTTCTTAGTTCCAAGGATATTTTGTAGGGCAATTCATCATATAGTCCGTGGTTTAAGAAAAAATTAGCTGTGAACTGAAGTTCTGAAAACTTTCAAAATTAAATGTCAGTTTTTAAAACTTAAATTGAAGTGTTTTAAAAACAGTGGTGTGTGCCTAGTGGGGCTCAAATTTGTGCTGAATTAAATCTCCATCAGTATATGGTTTAATAGGTTATATGTGAGAATACAGTGACTGCAATGGATCATATTCAACTGGGATAAGGCGTTGACAAGACCTTTACTGATTGCTAAAAAAGTAGTATTTTATTTTTTTCTGGCTCTAAATAGAATATCAATGTCCCAGCCTTAACCACAGTGTTAGTCTCTCTCAAACGCTAGCCTTTCTAGTCTCCCAGGAATGCTGGGAAACCAAGTGGGGTGACAGCAGGGGCCTGAACCCCACCCTCACTGCCCTGCCTCATCCTCAGGTGTGTACCTTGGTGATGCAAAGAAAACCTCCCTCCAATAATCCTGAACCCCTGCTCTGCCACACACCCAACTAAAGTGGATTATTTAATAAGTAAAAGTCAAATTTAAACACATCTCCTCAAGAGTGGTTCCCTTCCTTCTAAGCAGTGTGAGCATATTACAAAGATCTCTTTCCTTACCAAGTTTATTTCCTAGAGTGTATGTGAGTGAATGTGTGTGGGAACAATAAATACAAAAGTAACATAATTAAAATGTATAGCGTGCCAAATAGTGATAAGTACTACTGATAAAAATAAAGCAGAGAGGGAACTAGGGGGTGATAAGTACTACTGATAAAAATAAAGCAGAGAGGGAACTAGGGGGTGTCTGAGGTGGGTGGCAACAATTGCAGTCAGAAAGTGTTGGAGGGAGCAGGATTGAGCCATGTTGGGACCTAAAACCGCATGGGATCTAAAAGATTTTAAAAGGACAGAGTTTTTTTCTTGACATGAATTTCTCTGAGTTCCCTTTTTCCCATGGTTATTTGATATTTTGAATATATACGGGGCAGGATGACATTGGTTGTCTTGGTTATGGGGCAAGATGACATTACTTACATAAAAGCAAAAGTTGTTTTCTAGACAGCCTGAAGCTGCAAACTTGCCACAAGACATTCACTGTCCAGACCCTGAGAAACCAAGGAGGGTATCGATAAAGCTGTGCTGATTCCACCCTGAATCAGGATCCTGAGATAACGCCAAGGATGGGAACAGAAAACAGACAGAGCCTTGGCGAGATCTTGCACCTGTCTCCTTGCACAGAGCCCCCGTCCCCACAGCTCATGTCCCCTTCCCTCCTGCTTTTCATTTCCCACATTCCATTCCCTCAAGGCATCTTTAAAAACTCCTCAGTAAATCTGACTCTTTGAGATGGCTTTAGTTTGTCCATTTTCCTTCAGGGTTTACCAGAGATATGGGTAGCCTAACATTTCTCCCTGGGTCACCAGAATTCCTGAATAAAAGTTGACTTCCTATTCCTCCAACATTTAACTTTTGGGCTTGTTTATTTTTACTTAGGGGCAGGCAGCTGGACTTGGTAATGGATTTGGGGGAACTTCAGCCAGGAGCTGAGTGGGCCTAGTATCAGGAGGTCTCACTGTAAAGGTGACATCTGAGCAAAGATCTGAAGGAGACAAGTGGGTGAGCCATTGGGATCTAGGGTATCAGAGAAGAGAGTGTCAGGCTGAGGGAACACCAAATGCAAAGCTGTGGGGTGGAAAGGTGCCTGGCATTGGTTGAGGAACAGCAAGAGGCACTGTGTGGTTGGAGCAGAGGGGTACGTGAGAGGCAATGAGGTCGATGGGCTTAAAGGGGGACAGATCATGGAGGTCCTGCTAGACCATTCTAAGGATGGTCTGAGAAACAACGTGGAGAACCACTGGAGGATTTCCAGCAGAGGAGTGGCATGGCCTAACCTGTTATTAAAGGCACTCTTCTTGACTAGCCAGGGTGGAGGCGCCATCAAAAGATACCAGAAAAAGTGTCCCAAAGTTTGCACAAAGAATTACTGGAAGAGGAAAGGGGTTGAATCTTGAAGAAATGCGTGTGTGGGTGGCTGGGAGGGGTTTTCCCTGGCAGACACACCTGCCTGGCTTTCAGGCCGTGACCGTGTAAAAAACTCGGTTCTTGCAACTCTGGCTCCAGGTCCCCTCCGGTAGGGTCAGTGCCCAAACCTGCACGCCGCGTTGCCATGGCGACGCAGGCTCCAGTCTCCCTCGCTCTGCTTCTTCAGCACGAGGCGCCCCGACCCAGCGTCCCCTCCGGAGGGAGCACCAGGTATGGCTCGGCGCGGGCTCATCAGTATTCCGCCCGCGGCATCTCCCCTGCCCCCACCGTGTCTCACTGCGACCGCCCATCCAGCAGCGACAGCCCCCAGCCGTCTGCGCGACCCCATGGCCCCTGCCCACCCCTCTCGGGGGCTCACAGCCGGCCCTGCCCTCGAGCGTGCCGGGCAGCTCTGGACACTTGTGCGGCTCTGCCTAGCTACGCGGCGCTTTCCCACGCTGGCCGCTGCCACGGGCTGCAGACTAGCGGCGGAGAACTCTGCTCCTGGCTGGCAGGCAGCGCGTCTGGGGAGACCCGCTCTAAGGCATCCCCGCAACAACTCTCTGGGGACATGCAACTCCCATGTGCGCCGTTTAAAATTCCCCTGCGCCTCCTGCAATGCACCAGACCGGGGAGGCAGACATAGAAGGCAACTGCATTGCGCCCCCTCTGGGATGCGCTGTGAGCAAAAGAGGGGGACCGTCTGCTGCAAAACCGGAAGATCGGAGGCGCGGGGAGTTAGGGGTGGGTTTTCTTAGCACTCACCTTGTGCAGTTTCCACATGGCCCCCAGAGCCTTGACTTCGTGGCTGGAGTGTTTACCCTCCTCCAAGCACTGGTAGCACACGGGCATCTTGCACTGCACGCAGTACATGCTGTGGTTCTCCAGCTCGTGGTCTGTGCAGGTGGAGACCTTGCGCGGGCTCAGCCGCCGGCTCACGCGGCCCTGGGCCGGGGGCACCAGGCGGTGCTTGGCTAGGGGCCCCCGGGGTGGGTGGCAGCGCAGGCGGCACGGATCGCAGTAGAAAACATCGCACTGTTCACACATGACAGTGGCCTCCTTGGGCGCCTTCTCGCAGAGCTGGCACTTCAGAGCCGCGGCTTTGCTCTGCTGGTAGCGGTCAATTACCCCTTCTAGGACGCGGTTCTTGGGGAAGCCGCGGAGCCCCCGGTCATCCAGGATGAGGCTGCGGTGGCACTGGGGGCAAGTGATACAGGAGTTGCGGGGCACCGGGGCCAGCGCCGGTGACAGGTGGGTGGCCGGTGGCGGCATAGCTGGGGGAAACACGCGGACGCCGTTGGGGGACTTCTGGCACGGGGTAGTGGGGGCGCTGGCGAAACCCCCGTAGGAGCCATAGCCGCTGTCCGCCTCGCTGTACAGGCTCATCTTGTCCAGGTCCAGATAGTCATAGTCGGAAACCCCAGAGCCCGAAGCCCGACGGCTCTGGGGGGACTCAGACTCCGGGGTCTGCACCAGGATGTTGCGGGCGCACGCCTGACATAAATTGTGAGAGCAGGGCAGGATGATGGGCTCCCGATAGAAGGAGCCGCACACGGGGCATTTTAACTCTTCTTCCATCTCTTCCATGGGGACCGGGCTGGGAGCGAGGCAGCGGCGGCTGCAGAGGGTGCCTGAGCTGCCGAGG